GCGCCCAGCCGGGGTCTGCCTCAGAGCAGCCTCCGCGTTGGTTCATAGGCGAAGGAAGAGGACGACCAGGCGCCCGGGGTAGGGGCGTCCGCGGGGAGATGGAGACGGGTCTGGGGATGGTCCGATTAGAGGCGATCCCGGCGGTAAGCGGAGAAGCCCGCCTGGCGGAGGTGGCGGGGATCTGTCTGGACCGGAACCCGGTTCTGGGGTTATTTCCTAGGGCCTCCCACATGTCATCACCCCGGAACAGGTCAGGGAGGTTTACTGAAGGAAGGAAGGTCAGAGGTAAGAAGGGGGCCGTGCTGGGGAAGAGGCCAGGTTGTAGGGATCTTGCCAACAGCCCCAAGCACAAGCCGTGCGCCTGGCCTATCTTGGCTTGTCCTTGGCGCAGGCTGTTTGGAGCAAAGTACCTGCCGGATGCTGAGGGCCTTGCTGAATGTCCCGGCGCTCTGAGGAGGTCCTGTAGGTGCTGCCTGTGCCACAGGTGCAGCGTTTTGGGTGCCCAAGGCCATAACATGGGTACCTAACAGATGAATAGCGCTTCAGTGTGCAGATACTTCGCATAGACCGTTTCCTCTGACCTCCTCGGCAGTCCCGTGGACAAGATGATGGAACTACCCTCCGCAGTCAGAAAAAACAGCCTCAGACAGACTGAACGACGTACTGGGGGTTACTCAGCGGCTTAGAGATAATGCCAGGACCGGACCCTCGTCTTCTGATTCTCAGCCATTTGCACGTCACATTGTATGTATCATCCTGAGAGCAGCCTGGCCGGCCCCGTGTCTGCCTCCCTCAGTGAATGAAGAAGTCCATCAACTTTGCAATGCTTTTAGGTTGCTGTTCTTCCTGATTCCAGAGTCTCCCTTCTCCCCAGCGCCTTCCATTGGCTGACGTGGATGGAACAAGCTATTCTGAAACGTCTCTTTTCTGAGCAAGTGTGCTGTGGACAGAGTTTCAGTTCATGCCCAAAGTGGGGTGCAGGGGAGACGGTAGCTGAAGAGGTCACTGAGGGACAGGACCGGTCTGGGCTTCCTTATTGCAGCTGGACCATCCCCTACCACTGCCGACGCAGAGTCCTTTAATTCCTCAGTTTCTCCTTTCCTCACTGCTGGCACTCTGCTGGCACTTCCTGGTGTTTGACGGCATCTGGAACCTGAAGAATTTCGGAGGAAGATATGCTCTGCGGAAGCAGCATAGCACAGTAGTTTAACAGCTTTGCTTGAGGGCCAGTGGCCTGGCCTCAAATCTTAGTTCTGCCACTTGCTAAATTCTGCGACAATGGGTAAATTCTCTGACCTCGGACACATTGTGTGCTTAGTTTGACCCTCGGACACATTTAAGGCTTAGTTTGACCATTTGACCAATTATAAAATGGTGATGATTATTGTGCCTAGGTTTATTGTGAGGATTTAAAGAGCTATTCCTTGCATAGCCCTTAGCATGGTGACTAGCCCATGGTAAGCATTAGTAAATGTAGCTACTACTACCAGTACCATGAAATACTTGTCTTCTCTCCTCTCTACCCTGGGAACAGCAGAAAACCCTTTCTCTGAATTCTTTGTATTCTTATGACTTGCATTTCATAGTGATCCATTATTGTTGTTTTCATTTTTATCGTTTTTGAGCTCCATTTGTAAGTTTCATCATAGGCCCTGCAGCCCCTGTGCCTCTGCAGTCTTAGTGGAGAGCTTCTGTTTTGGAGCCAAATTACAGTCTAGATTTGGCCTCTCCACCTTCTCAGCCCCTCCGTTTTCTCATTAGCTAAAATGAGCTGTGAGGCTGAGAGCCGGAGCATAAACATAGTAGCTGCTCATCGTAGCTGGCACAGGGTAGCTGCCTACTAAATGGTGTTGATGGTCATGATCAGATTCCTCATTTGGAGTCAGGGGTATGTGGGGACTGGAATGGGACATTGCGTTACGCCTACTGTATGCCCTTTTCTTTCTTTGCAGTCGCGGGGAGCTGCAGCGGGAGTCAGACTTCATGGCTAGTGTAGACAGCAGCTGGATCTCCTGGGGGGTCGGAGTCTTCCTGCTGAAGCCCCTCAAGTGGACTCTTTCCAACGTGCTCGGGGATAATAAGGTTCCTGCCGAGGAGGTGCTCGTGGCTGTGGAGCTGCTTAAGGTGGGTGCTCGGAAGGGAGGGCTGGGTGTCCTCTGCTGACGGCTCCTCCACACCCCTTCAGGCATCACTAGAAGAAGAACATAGTTTTTTACATGGTGATGGGCAGTAACTGAGTTCACCTAACCTCCCTTATTCCGTACTTTATTCTGTAGCATTGTTTAGTTGTTAGTTGGACTGCTACATCTCAAAGGTGATTCTCTGTCTAGGAATTGTCAGTAACATACAGTTGATTATTTTCTGTATTTGTACAGATTCGTGATAAGCTAACAGTTTAGAAAATGCTTTGCCTTCTGTAGTTTACTGACAAGCATTTCCTGAGGACCTTGTGACTGTCAGCTTTGCTTCCCACAAATCAGCAAACTAGGTTCATATTTTCTCTTCTCTGGCTATAACCTTCCCCATTCCAGCTTACTACAGGCCTTACAGGCCACCAGGCCCTGATCCCGTCCTGCTCTCCTGGTCAGTCAGCCTCCTGGCCTGTTTCCCTCCCCAGCCTAGAGCATGCAGCTATGCCTGCTTCCCTCCTTGTACCCTCAGCTCCTTTGCCACTCTCCCGGTCCACAACAGGGGCACCAGCAAATCCACCATCTTAGCTCAACCCCACAGTCTCCATCCCTGCCAGAGAAAGTCACCCTATCACCAAAATTGGGTCCCTTTCACAGCCCTGGGCTTTAGGAGGACCCTAGAGCCACTCTGCAGCCTGGTTTTCTTGTCCTGGCCCAGCCCCTCACACGCTCCCTCCATTCTCTGCCCTCTCCGCTGTCTGCAGACACTTGATGGAGAAGGTAGACTCCTGCGTCAGCGCCGTCAGTGTTCTGTTTACTGCCGCCACTGTAACCTCCTCTAAGCCCTTCCTCCTGGGCAGAGCCCAGAGGTGAAGTGCCCTTCCTCTCTTCCACTGGGCTCTTGAGTCTGCCCCTACACTGCTTGCCCCCGGCCCATCAATTAGCCCTCGATCTGTATATTCCATCTCCCTCTCTTTGGTGCTCACCACCTTCAGCCTCTAAACCCACTCAACTCCTGTGTGGGACCTGGGCCGCTGCCTAGTTCCTGCTCTTTCTCCTTCTTGTCCAAGCTTTGTCATCACCACTTCCTCGCCTCCCACACTGTCTTTGACCTAGTGCCCACCTGCTTCAGCCCTACCACTCCACCAAAACTGCTGTGGACAAGATTAGAGTAACCTTTGAGAGGCAGAGAGAGGTAGGGAGGGGGAGGAAGAGAGAGAGAATACAAGGTGCCTGAACTGTGTACTTTGCAGAAGTATACTGCAGACAGTAGCTATATTTGAAACTGCAGACCAAACCCAACATCAGGGTCCTTGCATAGCCCTGGAGGCTTCCACACAGCTGGATGCAGCTCAGAATCCCTTCCCCTGCCCCAAGAGAAGCTCGTTTCTCCTCCTCTCAGTGGACCTCCAACCTCTCTGCCTCAGAATGAGAAGGAAGCCTCCAAAATCTACCACCTCTCCTAGTGCCCCAGGAGTGTTGACTGAGCAGTACTTATTTCCTTCAGGGGGACACCTCTCTGCCCCACGGCACTCTGCCTCCTCCCTCATGGATATCCCCCGACCCACTGCTTAGCCAAGGCCCCAGAGAAACTACAGGGTGGTTTGGGGGGGTTCCGTGCCAAGCCCCCTTCCTCTGTGCAGTCTTACCTCAATGTCTCCAGCCTGGAGCAAAGGGAGACAGATCCATTTATCCCCACACGAGTCCAAAAACAAAGTTTGGACTCAGTCTTTTGAGAGCAAAGGCAGAGATGGAGGTGGAAATGGAATTACATAAGTCTTCCAAGAACCACCTAATATTTGGCAGCAATGTAGTTTAATCCTATTTAGGTAGAAAAATAAATCTTCTAGCTCTGTAGGGGCATGGTCCTGTTATATCTGTACCCAGTGTATGTCACTAAACAGAACATGTACTATTTAATCTCATTCTGCTTTCTAATATTTGGTGACTTCACTGTTTTCTCCTGGGATGGAGACTTATTTATCTCCTTGAAACTAAAGGGTCTTATCTGGATATTTTCTGAAAGAAAGAAAACCTGCTTCTGAGGTAAATTGATTTTCTCAAGTCTAGTTATAGAAAGCAATCAGTCATTTTTTATTTGAAAAAATACAAAACGAAAAATTTGCCCATTGATTTTGCTATTTTAAAAAAGTATACAAAGAAATGAAAATTTCCTTTCTGTTCATCCCGTTTCTGTCTCTTTGGATATGTTCCCTTCCCAGGTGCGTGCATAGACGCGCAGGTGTGTGTGTTTGTGTGTGTGTGTGTGCGTGTGTGTGTGTGTGTGTGTATGTGTGTGCGCGCTAACAGACATTTGTTATTGACCCTGTCTCACACTATTATATTACTTTACATTCTATTTTCTTGTTAGCATTCAGTACTTCCTGAAAATTTTTATCTACTTGTTTGTTTATTTATTGTCCTCTACCAGAAGAGAGCAGTTGCTGGGACTTTGGGAACAGAGTCAATGAATATTTGTTGAATAAATAAATGAATATGCACATACATACATATGTATGCACATATACTCCATTTTTTCCCAGAAGTGGAATCTTATTTTATCTGTTGGTCTGCAACCTGCTTTTTGCTCTTTTCACTCTAATGTATCATGAGCATCTTTCCAGGTCCCTCCACAATATAGATTTACTGCATTCTTTTGGATGGCTGCATGATAATCTATAAATATACCACAATTTATGCAGTACTTACCACATGGATGGACAGTTAAGTCACTCCAATTCCTCTGTTACAAAAAAAAATATGTATTTGACAGCTTTGTCTGTACATCTATGTACTTCTTTTATTTTTATGAAATTGACTTCTGGAAATGTATATGTACATTTTACATTATAACAAATTGTCAAATTACTTTTCAGAAATTTGTACTAGTTTGCACTTTCTTTAAGACTACATTAAGTGTACAGTCTCCCCACATTCTCCGTCAGTACTGGATAATATCAGTCTTATAAAATTTGCCAATTTGATGAACAAAAATGATACTTCATCAAATCAAAGGGTTTGAGCATCTTTTCAACTATCTATTAGCCATTTACATATACCTTCTGTGAATTGCCTATTTATATCCAGTTTTTATATTGGATTGTTAATCTTTTATATTAATTCATAGGAATTGTCTATGTATGATGTATATGTGTGTATGTGTATTTAGGTTTAGGGCTATAAATACTGTTTCTCAGTCTCTTGTTTGCTTTTTATTTTTATGTATGATGTCTTTACCATATAGAAATTTTCCTATTTCTGTAGTCAGATATTTCCATTTTTTTTTTTATTAAATCTTTATTGTTCAGATTACATTTGTTCCTCTTTTTTTTCCCCCCCCATAACTCCCCTCCTCCCATTTCCCGCCCCACCCTCCGCCCTCACTCCCCACCCACTGTCCTCATCCATAGGTGCACGATTTTTGTCCAGTCTCTTCCCGCATCTCCCATTTCCCTTTCCCCCCCAAGAATAGTCAGTCCATTCCCTTTCTATGTCCCTGATTCATTATAATCACCAGTTCATTCTGTACATCAGATTATTTATTCACTTGATTCTTAGATTCACTTGTTGATAGATGCATGTTTGTTGTTCACAATTTGTATCTTTACCTTTTTCTTCTTCCTCTTCTTAAAGGATACCATTCAGCATTTCGTATAATACTGGTTTAGTGGTGATGAACTCCTTTAGCTTTTCCTTATCTGTGAAGCTCTTTATCTGACCTTCAATTCTGAATGATAGCTTTGCTGGATAAAGTAATCTTGGCTGTAGGTTCTTGGTATTCATCACTTTGAATATTTCTTGCCATTCCCTTCTGGCCTGCAAAGTTTCTGTTGAGAAATCAGCTGACAGTCGTATGGGTATTCCCTTGTAGGTAATTGAGTCTCTTTCTCTTGCTGCTTTTAAGATTCTCTCTTTGTCTTTTGCTCTTGGCATTTTAATTGTGATGTGTCTTGGTGTGGTCCTCTTTGGATTCCTTTTGTTTGGGGTTCTCTGCGCTTCTTGGACCTGTAAGTCCATTTCTTTCACCAGGTGGGGGAAGTTTTCTGCCATTATTTCTTCAAATAGGTTTTCGATATCTTGCTGTCTCTCATCTTCTGGCACCCCTATGATTCTGATGTTTGTTCTCTTGAAGCTGTCCCAGAGGCTCCTTACACTATCTTCGTATTTTCGGATTCTTTTTTCATTTTGCTTTTCCGGTTGGGTGTTTTTTGCTTCTTCGCATTTCAAATCTTTGACTTGATTCTTGCGCTCCTCTGGTCTGCTATTGGGTGTCTGTATAATATTCTTTATTTCAGTCCGTGTATGCTTAATTTCTAGTTGGTTCTTTATCATAGCATCGAGGGTCTCATTAGTTTTCGTGAGTCTCTCCTCAAGTTTATTGGCAGCTTCTAGCACATTCTTGCAAGCCCTCAAAATTGCATTTTTTAGCTCTATATTTTCCATTTCTGTCATGTTTTTTTGTCTCCGCATTTTTTATGCTTTCTTGGAGTACCCCCTTGTGGTCTTTGTGCGCAGTCTTGTTCTAGTTAAGCCTTGATTGTTGTAGTTAATCCTGGAGGGATTTGACCACCAGGCCGACTGGCTGTGAGAATCAGCTGTGTCTGCCGCGGGAAAACTTCTGTCCTCTGGAGAGGGGCTAATCTAGCCTTTGCCTGAGGCGATCCGGCAAATGGCTCTGCGCAGGGCTTGGGCGGGGCGGGATCAACAGGGCGGGCAGAGGGAGCAGTTATGGCTGTTCTCAGTCCCGTTCCCAGAGGCTCTGCTTCTCAGAAGCCCAGGAACCACTGCAAACCTCGGAGAGAAAGCTGCCCTCACGTTCCAACTGATGCCAGACAATCCTGCTTCTCCCGTTTGAGTCTGAGTCCCTAGAGACTCGCCCGGATCTGGAGCTCAGAGTCTGAGACTCCCTTCTGATTGAAAACGACAACCGCTCCCTCAGCCACCAGCCCGCTTTGCGCGCGCACCTCCGCACCTTTATATTTTCCACACTGCGCCTCCTCTGAGCCTCGGTATGCTGTTGTCTTTCCTTCTAGTTGAAGAGTCTCTCCTCAGCCAGCCTTCCTGTGGTTCTGGGTGATGTCCGTTCCGTCTTTTAGTTGCATTTTTGAAGTGGTTGTTTGCCGCAGCAGTCTCCGGTGTTTACCTATGCTGCCATCTTGAGTTATCGGTCAGATGTTTCCATTTTTTAAAAAATATATTTTTATTGATTTCAGAGAGGAAGGGAGAGGGAGAGAGAAATAGAAACATCAATAATGAGAGAGAATCATTGATTGGCTGCCTCCTGCACACCCCACACTGGGGATCGAGCCCACAACCCAGGCATGTGCTCTGACCAGGAATGGAGCCATGACCTCATCATTCATAGGTCGACACTCAACCACCGAGCCACGCCAGCCAGGCTCAGATTTTTCTTTATGGCTACTGAATTTCTGGTCTTGCTTAGGAAGGCATCTTCTACTTTAACATTTTAAAAATATTTTCTTCAAATTATTTTACACTTTCATTTTCTCCATTTAAAGTTCAATAATTTGGTATTTATTTTTGTATATGTGGTGAGGAAAAACGATTTTCTTCCAAATGGATAACCCGTTGTTTTAACATCACTCATTTAAAATGTTGTGTGCCATTAATCTATTTGTGTATTGATACCATCCTGTAACTTTATACTAAGTGTTGTTATCTGCTGGGGCAGTCAATCCAAGGAAAACTTTAGGTTGTATCTTAGTAGACTCTTCTGCTGCCTTTGACACTGTTGACCAGTCCTTAACATTTTCCATTTCTTTGACTTTGTTGTCATTATACCGTGGGTTCTCCTTGGTTCTTCCTGAGCAGTGTTTCTGGATCTCATTTGTGAGCTCCTTCATCTCTTAAACGTTGGTCTTCCTTCAGTCTATTACTTCACTCTATGAATTTCCTTGTGATTTTAATTACCTTCTATCTCCTGTTCGGGTATCTCCTTGAGCTTCAGATTTGTATATCCATTTATCTGCTGTATAGCTTTTCTTGGATGTACCTCAGGCATCCTAAACTAACATATCCAACATAGAATGTTTTGTCTTTCATTTAAAATACTAGAGGCCCGTTGCAGGAAGATTCCTGCAAGAATAGGGCTTACTGTGGCTGGAGGAAAGCAGAGAAGGGAGCAAAACCCGCTGAGGCGGGCTTCGCTC